ACTACGTGCCCCACGGCCATTGCGGCACACGATCAACTAGAAGCTTCCAATTCTAATTACGTAGCTTCCATTGCGTCCGCGCCAACACCAGTATTCCGCACTCTGCTGATAGCTGCCCAACAGCTTTTTTGCAACTGCGCCTCTCCTGCCAAGGAGGAACACCGCATACTTCGGAATCTGGTGAATTCATTCGCTACTGATGGATCGAGGATAGCATTTAGTGAGGCCCTAAACGATGTGTGTGCTACTCTCTTTCCACACATATGGAGGCCTTCGAAAAAACGTGTGCATACCGTTAAGATTTGAAACAATCAGCACAGGCGACGCCTACAATATGGCCATATTCAACGTCTTTATCATACCTGCCGGAAAGACGCTGCAAGTACGGTGATTGACGGAAGATAGCGCATTGCCTTTCTTAATGAGGACGAGAACATTCCAGGTTTCACGGAATATTGGAAGAATGTCCTCTCCAGACCTGCTAATGATGAGCGCGCACCACGTCGATTCCTTCCAGCTAATGATGACTTGGTGAAGCCAATTGTCCTGGAGGAGATGCAAAGTGTTCTCAAACAGATGCGGGGTTCGGCTCCCGGTGTAGACCGCATCAAGATAGCCGATATTTCAAGGATGGATCCCTACTTTGTAACTTCTTTTCTCAACTGTCTTCTTGCTTCCTACCCATTTCCCATCCACATGAGCACTGCTCGGATCACCTTCGTACCAAAAGTTTCCCAGCCCATCTCCCCTGACCAATTCCGTCCAATCGCAGTTTCATCTGTCTTCACACGCCTTCTTCATCGTATCCTCTTTGATCGTTGGGTTCCGACTTTCCCTACCGACCGCCTTCAATTTGGTTTTCTTCGTAAAGATGGCGCTTTCGAAGCCCCGTCCATACTCCATGCTGCTCTTCGCCATTCTCATTCTTCTCCTACCCCCCTTTCATTTGCGACAGTGGATACCTCGAAGGCGTTCGATTCCATTTCTCATCACTTCTTACTTCGAGCAGCACCTGCTTTCAAAGCCCCCCACCGCTATTATTAGAATATTTGGGACCGTATTACAGCTCCGCGTCCTCAATCTTTAATGATATCAAGCTTCATTCTGATAGAGGGGTCCGGCAAGGAGATCCGCTTTCGCCTTTGCTCTTCATAATGTCCCTAGATGAAATTTTACACGGAGTCGCCACTTCGCCTTGGATATCACCGGCTGGCCCGATTGAGTACCTCGCTTACGCGGACGACGTGATCATCTTTGCTCAAGACCGCCTTTCTCTGGGAGATCACCTTCAGCGATTCCATCAACGACTGCAGTGCGTCGGCTTCAACATCATCCATCTAAAATCTTTCTCGGTAAATATAATTGTTGATGGCGCTCGCAAATGAACCATACTGGATACGAATGCTTTGGACTGTGGTCATATTTTGATTCCCTCCATTCAGCCCGATGAAAAGTTCAAGATGTTGGACCTGCCTTTTAACTGGAAGGGTAAGCTCCCTCTAACAGTAATCGACGATATTACTGGGCAACTTAACGAAGTTACCAAGGCACCGCTTAAACCACAACAACGACTTGAGATTCTGAGGACCTATCTGCTCCCCAAGCATGTTCATCAGTTAGCTCTGGCAGTGGTTCACCGGAATACATTGAAGTAGTTGGATCGCATTGTCAGATCACACGTCAAAAAATGGCTGCGCTTACCGTCAGACACCTCCATTGCATATCTTCACGCTCCCATTGCGAGCTTTGGTTTGGGTATTCCGTGTCTGTCAACGAGTATTCTCTGCTACGGAAGGAGAGGCTGGAACGATACCTAGCCAACTGCCATCCAGTGACCAGTTGGGCGATCCGGGACCCTGCAGCCGCTGCCATCCATCGTCTAGCGCGCTCCACTGTTACCATCGATAATCGCGTCGTCATTGATAAAAGCTCAGCTGCGGAAGCCTGGAGAGATGCTTTTTTGCTTCAGTGGATGGCTCTCCCTTGCGAAATGTGGTCACGTCACCTTCCACTCACCACTGGTTGAGGGACCCCACCAGGATTTTTCCACGTCTTTTCATACGGGGTGTCCAACTACGGTGGGGGTGTTCTTTCTACCAAAATGCGACGGAGCAGAGGCAGATCTACAAATGACCCGGCTTCTCTCGACGGCCGCGGGAGCTGCGGACAAAAAGAGACTCTGTCACATGTTCTTCAGGCGTGCTGCATCACGCATGATGTCCGCTGTAAACGTCACAATGAAATTGCCCAACAGATTGCCAGGCAATTGCGGCGCCGAAGCATTAACATTGTTATGGAGCCGAGGGTTCCGACAGCCACCTCCTTCATCAAGCCAGACCTGCTTGCGGTTAGAAATTCTACGGTTCACATTGTGGACGTGGCCATCTGTGACGCGTACCGAATGGATTGTACTTATAAACTGAAAGTGGATAAATACGGATCAGGGGAGAATGCCGCAACCATATCGCGATACATACGTGAACAGTTTCCTGAGACGACAAATATTGTTCACCACCCCGTCGTTATCAATAATCGAGGGATGATATGCTCCACCTCAGCCAAACATCTTACCGCACTCGGGATGACATCACTTGATATTTCTGACCTCTGTGTTTCTACTCTTCGTCTGACTCTGAAGGTCTACGACACCGACATGCGTTGCGCAACATCACGCCTTACATAACATGCACCCAATCCCACACGGTGACAATTGACGCGGCTCCGACCACTGTTTGAAGATTTTTTTATTTCAATCAGTGTTTCCTATTCTGCCGGGACATTCGTCCTCTCTTGGCATATTGCTGTACAGCTCATCCATCAAGCCATGCATGCAAATGTCAAAAATAAATGTTAATGGCATCAACTTGCTGAGTTTTGTGGGAAAGGTGATTGCCGGAATCCTGCTCAAGCGCCTCGTCAGTCAGGTTGTGGAACCGATGGTGGCCGAAGAGCAGTGTGGATTCCGTTCGGGTCGCAGCACTATAGATATGGTGTTTGCGGCTCGTCAGTTGCAAGAGAAGTGTAGAGAACGACACCAGTCTTTGTACTCGCGTTTTGTTGATTTCACCAAGGCATTTGATACGGTGAACCGCGAGGCATTGTGACTGGTGTTGGGTAAGTTTGGTTGCCCGCGTAAGTTTGTAAGTTTAATTGAATGTCTGCACAGTGGTATGCGGACGAGGGTGCAGCTGAGTGGAGAGACCTCGGATGACTTTGCAGTTGTTACTGGTGTGAAGCAAGGCTGTGTCTTAGCTCCTGCCCTGTTTAATATATATCTTCATGCAATGTTGTCCTGCGCTATTGATGCCGCTTGTGCTTACGGTGTTCGTGTGGAGCACCGTATTGATGGTGGGTTGCTGAACCTCCGTCGTTTCGGTGCGCGAACTCTAGTCTGTGAGATAACTATCCGTATGTTGCTGTTTGCTGACGACTGTGCGTTGTTTGCACACAGCGCGGATGAGTTGCAGCACATGACTGATGCTCTGGCTTCGACAGCGGCCAAATTCTGGCTAAACATCAACACAAGGAAAACTGTCTGTCTCTTTCATCCTTCACCGGAGGTGCAATCTTCAATACTGCCGCAAATCAGCATTGGTGCTGAAGTATTGGAAACCACCTCCCGCTTCTGCTACCTTGGGAGTGTGATGTCGACTGATCAGCAGCTACACAGTGAGCTGCGTATCCGCGTGTCGAAGCCAGCGGCGGCAATCAGGAAGCTTGAGTACCGAGTGT